AGGTAAAGCCAAATCAATTACCAATATTGATGATGCTTGGAAAAAAAAACATTGGAAAGCTATTGGAGCTATTAGACAATAGGTGGATGATATTGTATTTGACAATGTATCCAAAAAGATAAATGCCCAAAAACTATTTAAAAAAGCATTAAATAGTATGTATTAAAGGAAGACTATAGATAATAAAGCTTCTTTGATTAGGAAGCTTGTGAATTTGAAATACAAATATGGATGATTTGTTGCTAAACACTTGAGTGGCTTTCAAGATTGATTAATCAATTGATAACTATGAAAATAGTGTTAGATGATGAGTTACAAACATTATTGCTAGTGAAAACTTTGGTTGTGATACTTGGCAAGTTTGCTCCGAATTAATTTTGTTTTTATCATTGTTCATGATTAAAGGTAACTTGTTTAATTGAAAAAAAAAAAGACAACAATATGGTAATAAATGATTCAAAAAAAAAAAAAAGACAACAAGATGGTAATAGATGAAACACAAGCTTTTATCACATGAAATAACGAGCGAGTAGGACTAAAAAATTTGGTAAGCACGATAAATCTAGAATCAAATCACACACAAATAGCAGTTTTAAATGTTATCACTATGAAAAAGAAGGTCACATCAAGAAAAAATGAAAGGCATGAAAGAAAAAAAAAAAAAGAAGTGAAGAATAAAAAATAGGATTATGAGAATACCATTATAGCATTAACTTCGATTGAGATATGACGATGCGCTCATATAGAGAGGATAAGTGTAATGTTATAGATCTTTGCATTGAATGAGTTGCTAACTCAACAACTATATATTATGCTAATTTTTAAAATGAATTCTTTATCGTGCACAAAGTATGAGACTTTGGTAGAGTAAAAATGAACAATAATAGTTATGCTAGTGTTCGAAAAATGGTTGATGTGTGTATAAAGACATGTATATATTATACAATGACTTTAAAAAATGTGATGCATGTATCGAATTTATGTGTGAATTTAATTTCTTCCGGTGCTTTAGACATTACTCGATACTACAATCATTTTAGTGGTGGAAAGATAAAATCTCACCATGAGATCAATGATTATTGCTAGAGGTAATAGTTGTAATAAACTGTACAAGATAAAAAATGCAATTGATTAGACTCGAGAAGAGGTGCGGTTAGATATAGACCTTTTTCAAAGTTATGGTCCGCATGATAGACTCAAGCGAATGACAAAGAATTGACAAAAAAGTCTTATCTTACTTTTTTCCAAAAGATTGCCACATACGAAGGAGTATTGAATGAAGAATATAGAATTGGTATTGAGCTAATTATTGGTAATAATGATGATGCATGGATAAGGAGTGCAAAGGAGAAGGATTATGATCCTTCACTTTAGAATATAGAACCTCGAGTGAGTAGGTCTACTGGTCATTATTATTCTTTTATCAAAGTTTTCAATCCTAATAATGTCTTGTTAATGGAAGAGAGAGAGCTAAGAAACTTTTATATTTTAACTTATGATAAAGGTTAGGAATCAAAGTTAAATAATTGATGATGTCATTGATGCAATAGAGAAATAATTTATGATGTTAAGAATGATTCTCTAAGATAAAAGTCATACTAATATGTCTTTAGAATTGATAGCATGTGAGAATAATGAATTGTGTGCTAGTGTAGCTGATATTAACTTTGAATGATGAGTTGAGATTTTCTCCTCATAGATTGGAGGGGAAAATTTTTGTGTATAAACTATAGTCTAGTCCATGAGTAGCCATAGCATAATCCATTAAAAAATTTATTAGAAAAAAAAATAGTTACAAAAAAGATTAAAAATGAAAAGGAATGAATTAAAAAAGAAAAGGAAATTTGAAGGGAAAATTATGAAGTTTGTGCATATATGGTGATGAAAAAGGAAAAAAAAAAAACAAAAAGTCTGGTTTGACTTTTTTGTTTTGCTTTGGTTTTGCCAAATAAAAGAAAGTCTGATTTTTTTAAAGGTAGTTGCTAAGAAAGAAGGAGAGCAACAAACATAGAAACAACATAAAAAGAGTTCTTTTTCTCTATATTTCTTGGATTGCTATTATAAGAAAACAATGATTTTTGGTGTACTAATTATTGAATTTTTCTCTAGCATTGAGTTTTAGGTATATAATAACGAGAGAATTATAGTATTCTAAATGGTGATCTCACACAATATTGAGTTTTATATAAACACAAAGATTTAGCATATTTCCAAGATTTCATGGTCATATGGATTTAACTAAAGAAATAACTTGTATTACTACCAATATATTTGTTTTTCAAGTTCATGAAGAAACTTGGGTGATTGTATTACTTTCTTGATTATAGTAACTTATTTCAGAATTTGTCATTTGATTTTGTAGTTGTGTTTTTGTGATTAATTTATTTTTTTCTCTTAATTATTATGTGTATTTAGTTTAATTATTTTATCATGATATCTAATTTACACATGACAAGATTAAATTTTCAACAAGCATGATAGAGCGAATGGTCTTTCTTAAAGTTGTTTTGCTCAAAGTGGGTTTTAATAGTTCATGGGTCAATCCCAATATCCAAAGCACTTTTTCTGTTTCATGTTCGGTTATCGTTGAAGGGTACTCCAATTGCTTAATTCACTCTTTCGAGAGCATCCAATAAAAGTATCCTCTATTTGGCTATCCCTTTATCTCTTCTTTATTTGTGTAAAAGGGTTATCCAACTTAATTAGACATGTTGAAAGGAGCAATTCTATCCATAGGCCTTCCATTTTTTATGGTGCTACTTTTATTTTCTATTAAATTTTATGAATATTGAGACTCCATACAATTTGAATTTTTTATTGAGACCCTACGTTTTTTTTTCTTTTGTTCGATTTAAGAATTTTATTCTTATATTATTGTTATTTTATATTATAATATGCCACATAAGCATATGTGGTAAGTTCTAGCTAATGACAGTTTGTCACGGGTCATAGTGAGCTCAAATTGGGGTTTGTAAAAAAAATAATTTTTTTATGAATTTAAATAACTAAACAAATAATAAAACTAAAAAGATGTTAGAAAAATACAATTTAACTCTTACCCACTAAAATTAAAAATCGCTTTCTCACTCCTATTCATTTCGGTTTTTTTCTCTTTCCTCTTTCTTCAATTTGCAATCAAAACTTACGATGCACGATACCCAAATGATTTCAAAGTAGAATTTAATGGGTTTTCATTATTAAAGAAGCAATACTTTTTAAATCACAATTTATGTCTCCGGATACTTGAATTATTTTTTTCCCCCTAAAATTGCACTTGTAATTTTTCATTTTTGGCGTTAATTTGGATTCTATCCTTGATTAATCAACTGGTAGCATCCAAATTTTGGTATCTCGATGATGCTTCAACGAGTTATTGAGTCGATTAAAGAAAATGCAGCAAATAACAAGAATTTATTTGCTTCCATATAGCAATATATGATTGGTAAAGGCCATGGATTAGCATTTTGATGGTTGATGTTTGATTTGACATCATTGGATAGCAAAGACCAAAACTAAGAAGTTCCGTAAGATTAAATCAACCAATGAAATTCATCATGATTGGTTGTACCAACTCATCACAAATTTAAACACCATTTCTCCGTTACAAGTCAATCTATAGTAGTAGCGAGCAGTTCTGTAGATCCATAAGATTAATCCTTCATAATCTTTGGGTATGAGGGTTTGAAATTTGAAAATCCGAGATTGTAAGTTTTGATTGCGGATCGAAGGAAGAGAAAAGAGAATAAAAAAAAAAAAACTCAAATGAATGGGAGAGAGAAGGATATTTTTAGTTTTAGTAGGTAAGAGTTGAATTGTAACTTTTTTAACCTATTTTGTAGGTTTATTATTTATTTAGTTATTTAAAATTTATTAAATTTTTTTTTATTTTCGTTAAAACTTTAATTTGAGCCTATCATAATACGTGACAAGTTGTCATTGATTAAAGTTTATCACAAATGCTTACGTGGCACATTATGATCTAAAAACAATAACAATATAACAACATAACTTTTAAATTGAATAAAATAAAAAACATAGTATCTCAATAAAAATTTTTTACTTCTAATTGCATAGGATATTTATACTCGTAAGACCGATTTTCTACTATTTTTGACCAATGAAAGCTTACAATTCATCGAAGCCACTATTCCATAGACAGAATCCAATCTCCGAATTTTTAATTAATATGAAAAAGCATCGAGTCAATGTATCAATTTTGAAAACAAGAAGCTCTCTTTTAGCTAAAATATTCCCAAACCTACACAATCTACCATCCAAGAGAGGATGAAGGTAAAGGTTTGTAGAACACCATGATAAATATCTTGGCTTGCTAACTATTATTGGTAGTTTCAAGAAGAAATTTTTCTAATTGGTGCCCGTGGTCCGGGAATTATAGCTAGAAATTCTCGGGGATTGTTTCGTTAACAACTTACAAACTCATCCATAGCCCTAAGTGAGCTCTTAGCGATACGGTATGCTCTTAATCTTGCTCAAATCATGGGTTATCAAGAGATAATTGTTGAAACGGACTACTTACAAACTCGAAGACTTTTTTCGCAGTCCATGATGCAGAGGCTTTGATCTCGGAAAGATATTTTCTATCTCTTCCGTTATCCAGCGTCACGTACTTAATCTTCATCTTTAATGAAAGACGACTTTTTATCTATAAAAAGAAAAATCTAATAAAAACATTCAATGGATAAAATTGTAAAAATTAATAAACTCAAATAATAATAAAAAAGAACAAAATGCATCCTTGATAAACATGTCAACAGGCCATATATCAATTTAACACCCGTATTAACATATAATAAATAAAATAAATTTAACATTAGAAAAAAAATTGAAAATTATGGCGTGATGAGGAAAAGAACGCCTTGTCGTCCAGTTGCACTTTTAGGCTTAACGGTGACAAGAACCAAACGCTGTCGTTCAGGTTTTCACAAGCAGTTTCATAGATGGCTTTCGCTCTCTCGCATAGCAGTCAGAGCCGCCACACTATGGCTCGAAACAAGGCGTCTTCCGTCAAACCCAAACCGAAACCAAAACAAACCACCGAGAAATCAGCAAAGCCGCGGCTGAGCAACGCTGAGCGGTCTGCTTACTTCGCTAGAAGAGAAGCAGCCAAGGTTTTACACTCTGTTCTTCAAGGCGACGCTAATCGCCAAGCGGTTGCCTCCATTAAATCACTTGTCTACAGCCCTTCCATTAGAAACAAAAAAGCCACTTTCGCTCTTGTTTGCCAAACTCTCAAACGTAAGTCAGCTTTGTTAAATTTATAATAGTAGTTCTCCAATGCTAACCAAACAGTGCCTAAGAGAGAGTGAAAAGCCTATAAAGCAAGCTGAATGTGTTCTTCTCCTTTTTTTCTTATTTATTTTTAAAATTTTCAGATCTAAAAATAATCAAGGATGTTTTGGAGATTGCTAAAATACTTAATAGCAAGTGGAAGGTAAAAGAAAAATATAGTTGTTTTTCACATTATTGTTATTAATTTTTTCATTTTATTGATGGTATTTTTTTGGATTAAATTTTTGTTTATTGTTATGTTATTGCAGAGACAAGAGGAATTGGTTTACATTATAGCTTATGACATTTTATTTGGCAAGGTAATTTATGCCAATTTCATAAATAATGGTTATTGCTTTGTGTTAAGGTTCTTTTTTTTTTTCTTTTTTTTTTTCCCCTTCCCTTCCCTCTGGATAGTTGATATTTGTAGTGGTGGTTTGATGTGGAATGTTACTTTTCGTAGGAAATTTCTTTGGTTGGTGGTGATGCGGAGAAGTTTGTTACTTGTCGGAAAGGTGCTATGCAGTCAGCTTTGGCTAAGCTTTTAGTGAGAAAAAAGTGAAGAACATTGATGACTTGATTGGTCTTTATCAGCCTCCGGGTACATAGTCCTTCTAGTTTAGGATTTTCTTTCGAAATTTAATTGTGCTTGGCGGTAAAGCTATTAGAGTGAGAAGGGTTACTTGTGCATAGGTTTAGTTTTTAGTTCTGCATTCCTTTGCTATAATTGATCTAAGTCGAGACTCTGTTATGGTTAGATTTTGGATGTTGTTTTTCCTTGTCCTTGATGCATAAAGGTTAGTTGTTTGCTTTCTAACAATATTGCGAACATTTGGGTGCTAATTGTGGTGCAGATATTACAAAACCCTGTTGCGTTCGTGTAAATACTATGAAATTGGATGTTGATTCTGCCTTGTATGAATTAGGGAAACAATTCAAGGTACTTTCTGAAACTTATGTGAAGCTGTAGTGGGAGAGTTTGAAATGTTTATGCGAAGTAGCAGTGATCCTTTCACGTGAAAGGAACGTCGAAAGTCATGAACTGGAAATAATGTTTGTCTGTTTTCTTGTTAAATAGGTTCAGAAGGATGACATGATACGTGACTTGTTGGTACTGCCACCGCATACTGATTTGCACAATCACCCTCTAGTCTTGAATGGAAGCGTCTTTGTACAAGTAAGAATTTATTTGAATTTTACGTGGATGCTGTAACTTATGCTTTTGATTGAAGCATGTGAAGTTCGGTTTCTATAGGATTCTTTTAAATAAGTATGAGATAGGAAAGGTGCAGGGGTTTAATTTGACCAAAAAGGTTTGCAGTGCAAAGGTAACTTTTTTGTTGATTTTTGAAGGTCAATATATGCATATGGACAGAGGTTTAATAAAATTTGGGATCAATTCAAGAATCAAAAAACCAAAATTTGAGGGCCAATACAGGTGTTTCCTTGTCCTGCAAACCAAATACATAAAGTTTTCTTGTGGTTATCTGTTTTTTTTTTTTTTTTCAAAAACAAGTTGATGGATAGATGGATTATGTACTGAAAAATCAAATCTGAAATTTTTGTATTTGTGTTGGAATTGAATAAAGGTGGAACATTCTACAATATACATTTAAGAATTCTGGAACACATAACACCTAAGTTTCCATCTACTTCATACCCAGTGTTAGAATTCCTCCCACAGCTGAAAATATGTCTAGATTCTGAATCACTTTAAAATTGGTTTTTATTGTGTAAAGAGATAGATGTTTGCAAATTGTAAACTCATCTGACTTGGACTTCCAAATAGGGAATACAAACTTTCCAACTTTGACTTGGAAAGACCATAGTGAAACGACTTATTAAACTTAAAATGGAAGCAAAGAGAGTCAATGCAAGAAAACTGGCAGCATACTGAGGTATAGAAACATAAAATTAGGTCAATGTAACTAACATGAATCCCAGCTTTGACTAGGTAGGAAAGACACAAGGAAAACCACTTTATCAAAACCAACAAGACACTTATACTAGAAGGATGACCCACCTACTGTGGAAAGACAAGATTTTAACACACCCTCAACTCCTAAAAACTCAACTAATTAAGGAAATAGCAGCTTACTGAATTGTTGAAACATAAAATTGAGAATCGATGCATCTGAGATACGGATGCGAACACCAAAGAGATAGACCACATTACATTTTTAACAGGCGTGCCTCCTTTGATTCTTAAGCTCCATGTTCCCATTGAAATAATTTTTGTTCCCATTGAAAAGTTGACTTAATTAAGGACAACTTAGGGGGCTGTTCTGGATCTGAGTTTAGAGGCTGTTTAGGTCTGTGCTGATGTGGATTTCTGCTGGGACTTATTTAACTATTAGAGTCACACTAATATGGTTTCTAGGAATTACACCTAGAGGATGGAAAAATCTAAGCTTCACACCTAGGGTTCTTAAAAGTCACACCTAAGGGAGATTGTGTCATGCATTCAAAAGCAAATTATTGGAATTTTATTTATAAGCTGAAATTCAAAATGTTGAAAGACTACATGTTTATTTATAGAGTTCTAGTAATTTAAATCCATTAAGGACTTAAATTCTTAAATAAATAAAAAAATACTAAGTATATGTAGAACAAGAAAAACCTAATAAAGTTAATTCCTCTTTAGAACTAATATAATACTAAATAGAAAATAAAACCTAGACTTAGACAAATTTCTAGATTTTTCAGAAATTAGAGAAATACCCCGTCCATAAAAAGATACAAGTTTTGCTTCCCTTGTTGTCCACATCACCCCTTAACTCCTAAAAATTCAACTTAAGTAAGGAAACTAGCAACATGCTGAAGTATGGAAACTAGAAACATACTGAATTATTGAAACATAAAATTGAGAATTGATGCTTCTGAAATACAGATGCAAAGCACCAAAGAGATAGACCACATTGCATTTTTAACCAAAATAGTAGCCTTCTTTGATTCTTGAACCCCATATTGTTCCCATTGAAATAATTTTTGTTCCTAGATATAAAATTTGTTGACTATGGTTTGTTGGTAAATTCTCATTTGAGTCTTTCTATCCGACTCATAATGGAATCTATATTTTCACAGGGAAAGGCAAGTTCAATGGTGGCAGCAGCTCTTGATCCCAAACCAGGATGGAAGGTGAGTTTCGGTAGATGCTAGCTACTTTTTACATTCTTTCTCTGCTTCATGTTTCTTAACTTCTTGTTAAAATCGTTTACTTAATGTTGACAGTTTAAGATGTTCTTTTTTTTCCCTCCTCCTGAACCTGGGCCATACTCATTCCCATTCAACTTGATAATTTACCACAGTTTGGCAGCATGTGTTTTACCTGTTTTCTTGATGAAATAAATTTTATTGTTCGGCATAGTACCTTTTAGTAACTCATTATTTGCTGACAATTTATTCTCTATTGATGATGGCATATAATCTCCTTTTTTTGTGTTTTTGTGTGTGTGTGTGTGTGTTGGTGTTTGTGTGGGGGGTAGGGTGAGATAATGTTTAACAAAATATTAATTCATGAACTATAACAATTGAGTATTTTCACTTTGATATGCCTTCTTTCTTTCTGAAACATGAAACATAAAGTACAACAATTGCTTTACCGTACAATGTATATATATTTGTTGGATTAAAGATCCAAAATGTTCATCTACTATTTTATTTGTCTTAATCGCGTCTCTTTGCTAATTTTTCAATAATTGTATCCTTTTACTCTTAATTTGTTTCTTAATTTCATACTACCAGGCAACTTTTCCAGTTATTGCATCAATTTCCGACGACAGACTCACAGAATAATGACATGTGGCATTTTAAAAAAAAAGTTCTAAAAAAATAAAAAATCTGAAAAAAAATATTCCAAAATCCTTTCTTTTTTAAAATGCCACGTGTCGGCATTCTGTGAGTCTTTCACAAGAAATTGATGCAGTTATTGGGAAATTTGGCTGGAGGGATGAAATTAAGAATAGGGGATACAATTATTGAAAAAAAATTAGTAGAGGAACACGATTAAGACAAATAAAACAGTAATGGGACATCGTGGACTTTTAACCCTATTTTTGCTCATGTTGGCAGTGGGCCCTGGTATATTGCATTTCTTCTGCAGTTATTTCTTTTACTGCTGTTTCCCTCATGCTCTCTGTGGTTAATTTTTAATTTTCTGCAAAGGTTCTTGATGCATGTTCAGCTCCAGGGAACAAAACCGTCCACCTTGCTGCCCTTATGAGAGGAAAGGGGAAAATTATTGCATGTGAGCTGAATAAGGATAGGGCTAAACGTTTAGAAGACACTATTAGACTCTCTGGTGCTGCCAGTATCCTTTCTGTGGTTTTTTGATATTTTCACTTCTGCATGAGATGACTCTCTCACTTGGTTTCCAGGTGCCCTCATACTGAATTCTTTGCTTTCATGGTCGATAGATTTATTTATTTTTGCTTTCATGGTCGATAGATTTATTTATTTTTGCTTTCATTCTTACCTCGTTAGTTTTCATCTTATTTAACATCCCAATTAGCCTTAACTTGGTTTCTAGACATTGAAGTTCTGCATGGTGATTTTCTAAACATTGACCCAAAAGGTTCTCCTTTTTCAAAGGTAATAAATTGTGATGTTATTTATGATTCTTCATGTGTAACTGTTCGAGTATTATTTATGATTCTCCATGGATAACTGTCCGACATACTCGACCTTTCAGAACTCCAATTTTTTTGTCTCATTGAAAGAATAATTTAAGCTTGGAACATCATCTACTGGATTTCGCTAAGCTCTCTCTTGAACTGCTGCCTCCCTGCTCATTACTTCTGTATACTAAGTGACCGATACCTAGAATTGCTACTTTTTTTCAATAAACATCGAGTTGTTTTTGTCCTTGTAAGTGGCAAATTGTTTCCAGAATATTTTTGGCCAGCAAACTCTTAAAAGATGCCATCCTCGTCCTTTTCTATGTTCCATTCTTTTTTAATATGTAGGAAAAAATTGTTAAAATCGCAGTAATGACTGTGAGGGTTCTATTTCCTTGACAAATCATCTGCTCTTTACTTACGACCAGATACATTAATGCAGGTCTCTGCTATTCTTTTAGATCCTTCTTGCTCTGGATCTGGGACTGCTGCTCAAAGATTAGACCATTTACTCCCCTCTCATGCCACTGATGTTGTTGACACCCAGAGATTGAACAAGCTTGCAGCTTTTCAAAAGAAGGCTCTGGCCCATGCGTTGTCTTGTATGTTCTCTTTTTAATTGGTTCAAATGCTTTAATTCTATAATTATGTTCATTCCTGCAACTTGAAATTGCTATTACCAGAACCATATACCAGCCAAAATGGGAGGTTGTTTTCTGCATAAAAAAGTGTGGGATATGTAAACTATCGGCTACTATTTGTTGCTTATTGTTGTGTACTTCAAAATCTTCTAATTAGGATATTGTGAAACATTCTGTTGCAGTTCCAGCGGTTGAAAGAATTGTTTACAGTACATGCTCCATCAGTCAAATTGAAAATGAAGATGTTGTTAGTTCAGTTCTCCCTTTGGCCACATCCAATGGTTTTCAGCTGGCGACTCCCTTTCCTCAATGGCAACGCCGCGGTCTCCCAGTTTTTGAAGGCTGTAAGTGATTTTGTGAATCATTGTTGTATTACATTTTGGTGTGGAACTCTTGGTTTGATTCAATTACTGAATGGCATGAAGTTTAGACGTTCGTAACTATTTTTTCTTATTCTTTTTTTTTCTTTTTCTTTTTAACCCATTGCAGCTCAACATTTGCTTCGAACTGATCCAGTTGAGGACAGAGAAGGCTTCTTCATTGCTCTCTTTGTCAAGAAGAGTTCTGTTAAGAATTCAGAGGAACTAACTGGAAGCTGGAAAACCGCTGGATCTTTTTTAAATGATGAAGGCCCGTTAAAAAGATTTCGCTATGTGAAGAAGAAAAAAATTGCTTTGCCTGTATTCTACAGAGGCATTTTTAAACCGTGGTTGCACACTAAGAGTATGTTGATAAGAAATACATACAAATCCTGTAACAGGAGGACAATCCAAACTTGAACATAGTTCAAAAATTAATAAATTCTCTCCTTTGGCTTACATATTTTTGCTTACCATCTATACTTCTCCGAAAATTGCTTCTGTTCTCAGTATAGATATTGAGAAAATCCATTACATAATTCAGAACTATGAAAGAATTTATGACTATAAGAGCCTCAGTTTTGCCCAGGAAAATTGAGATTAACTGTTATTGTTGAGGTTTCCAGTCTAGCAACTAGAGAATTGATGCCAATTAGTTTGGCAATCAAGAGAATCCAAACCTTAAAATTTCAGAAATCAAGATACTCAGGGGAAGAAAACTAGCAGAAACATTGAATTAAGAGACTAAAACAGATGCATTTCTGACAATATAAAAGCTGCTACAGTCATATTTTTGAACAAGCACCAGTTTCCTACTCGGAAACTACTAAACTCATTCAAGTATTAATACACTCAAAATACCCCAAACTCAGCGACAACCAAAGAACAAAACTCTGAACAGGCATAACCCTCATTATTTATCCCCTGAACACACAAAACAACCCACATCATATATTCTCCTCTTCAAGCAATCTTGACCTCAATGCTCTTAGGCTTCTTGGGCTCAGGAGGTGGTAATTTCTCCACAGTAACAGTCAAAACCCCATCTTGACAAACAGCAGAAATAGCATCAGTATTAGCATTTTCTGGCAACACAAATTTCCTCATAAACTTACCAACCCTCCTTTCCATTCTCACATACTTGGCTCCTTCTTTCTCCTCCCCACGCTTCCTCTCTCCACTGATAACCAGCACATTGTCATCCTCCACTTGAACCTTGATGTCCCCTGACTTCAATCCTGGCATGTCAATGATGAAAGCATAAGAGTTTGGATACTCTTTCACATCAGCCGGTGTTGATGCCATTGCCTTCGCATCACGCACATAAGTGCGTGTTGGTGCATTGAAGGTCTTATCTGCCTCATGATCACTTACGTCCATCATATGCTGGAGGCTGTTGAAGAGTGGCGCGTCTAAACCCATGATTCTGAAATCCATCTCTCTGTGTCTCGTTTGTTGCCGGACCTTATGGAAGAATGCTAGAAGAAGAAAAGAAAGCTTTTTTCAAATGCTGATAGAATTTTCTATGTTTTCTCTGTGATATTTACCGAGGGGACGGTGGTATTTATAGCGGGATATGGGGGTGTGGAGAAATGGGGATCCAAAGGAAGTTTCTGGAGAGACGTAGGCAATAAAGGGACATTCCAGTGGCTTCTGTTATGTTCGGCTGGGTATACGTGTTGGGTCTAGAATGCTATAGAAGCATTCGGGAGTTCAAAATTTAAATTCTCCGTACTATTTTTAGTCCCTCTTCCTTTGCCCTTCTTGTATCAATTCCTTCCTTCTTATTCAATAAAGCAAGGATTATTTAGGATAGCTTCAGGGGATAAAGTGATTTTTTACGGTTAAATTTATATGATTTTTTACAATTGATTGTATTTTTTTTTTAATAAATTTCTAATCATTTTAAAACGGCACAATTCCTAGTCTTTATTGTCCATTATCTTAATGAACTATGGCACGACACATCGTATAGTTGAAAGGACTGATGGAGATTTACAGCGTCAATAAATTCATTATACTTTATAAAAAAATAAATTAAAAAAAATACGAAGGAAAAACAAAATAAGAAACCCCCTCTTCTCTCGTTACAATTAAAAAAAAAAAAATGAATACCGTGTAGAAACATCACAGGCCGAATTTGCGTCTCGTCAAAGATCCTCCATGCTTCTCCCAATCATCCATCTCCGTGTACATTTATAGCATTGCTAGCCAAGAAACAGAATACTTCTCATTGATTCTTAGAGACAATGAATTCAAAGAATTAGAAATTGACAAATGGTTCTCTGATCTTAACCTTAAACAACCATACCCAATACACATTCCAAACGATCACCCAATTTTATCCAAGTTATAACCACATGTACCAAATTTTATTTGATCCTAAATTTAAGAAGCTTCAAAAATAGCTCCACATTTTCAAAACTACCTGTTCTGCACATTGCCCAATAATCATCGTCTTTCAAAATACTACACTGCTTCCTTCATTCTTCCAGATTTCAACGGAAAGTCAATGTGCTCCATGAAACCTCCTTTCCTTTTGGGCATTTCATGATTTACAAGCTTCATCAAGATTTCCCCACTGTTTAGGGAAGGGGTAGTTAGCATATTTTTGCGTCAATTGTTAATTGAACTCCAGTTTCATTACTAGAATTTTGCTAAATAAGGACAGATTTTTCTGTCGTCATTTGTCAAAAATCCATTATTGTATATAATTAATAACGAATTAAAAATAATGTGAATTCTATTATTAATATAGTAGTTGTTATTTTTTTTAACCATCGAATATTTTTTTGGGTTTTTCTTTGCTATACTAGAAGAAATAGGCCCACAGAGTAAAAGAAAATGGGTTGGTAATGACAAAAAGAGTTTGATTTGATGAAAGTATTAGACGAAGTACATTAGTGTTGTTAATTAAAAGAAAGCTAGGTCATACTAAGGACAGTTTATTTATAAGAAAATCTATATTAAAACTTTTAGTAATTTTTTTTTCAATATATACTAACAAAGAATCGAAAATTTCAATATATACTAACAAAGAATCGAAAAGAAAATTATCTTTCATTTTGTTATAAAATTTAATCTTGACTATGCTGAAAATGACTGCCATGTGGTAACCGTAGAACTCGAACGGTAAGAATAAGTGTTATTATTTTATACACAAGTGGATAACTTTCTAAAATTTCTTATCTTCATGAATCATTGATACAAAAATCAGATATAACTGATAATGTTTTGAAATCGAAAGATTCCGTACATAGTTAAAATGCTCAAATTGCATCTTTAATTATAGTATTTCATGATCGAAAAAGTCTTAAAGGTAAAATTTCTACACCAACTTACAAATGACATCAATCCTAAATGATATACGCATCTTTCTAGGATAATTTTTCTCGTATTGAGTGAATATTTTATATGTTTTTCGATGCATGAATACTAACCTTTTATGCAAAATAAATGTTTTAAGTATTTTAAATGTGTATGTAAAATATTCTATTTGCATAAAATATTTGTTTGAGGAGTGTTAGATTATTATGTGTCATTAAGTGAATTTTTTGATGTTCAGTGAATATTTTTGATGCAATTAATTATTTTATGTATTTTATATATGTTTGAAAATTATCCAATGGGTATAGAAAAATCACTAACGAGGTTTAAGAATATTCTATGAACTTAAGTGAATTTTTTTGTGTATAGAGAATATTTTTTTGTAAAAATAAGTGCATTTTTACATTATTTAAGCCCTTAAATTAATTATTTTATATAAAAATATATTTATTTATATGTAGGTTAATTAAAATTTCAATTGAAGCATTCTTAAAAAATAAAATAAAACATGAATTAAGATGTTCTCGTATTGGAAATTGAATTGTGACAAAATAAGTGTTAGCGTGGAATGTATGTTTGGGGGGTTACTTATAGAGTCCCACGTGGGTCCACCCCTGCCTATTACTATTTTAATTCCTTTGGACTATGTTAAGGACAACTGACATTGGATGTACTTATGGTCGTGTCCTTAGCAAAATCCTTTCCCTTGCTTTCATTAACTTAGCTACATATCGTCAACATGATGATGATGATGTCAATCTATGAGTATTATGTATTTCAAAAAAATATATATATATATGTCAAGATGAACATTTGACACTAAACTGAGTTTGTAGGTGAAGCAGTAAGAAACCCATTTATGGTTTATTAGATCCATAGTTTGATTTTTTACTTTGGAAAAGTTTTTTTTTTTCCTCTCGTATTATATAGAAAATGTCGGTAAATTTGAAAATTTTGATTTTGATCTAACTCAAAAAATAATAAATTTAATTTTAATTGATTCAAAAAATTAAATCTCAATTGATACAAAAATAATCAACTCAATAATATCTCATTATCTAATAAATTTATATCAATAAAAATATGATTTTTTTTTCTATTTATGTTCGCGGAATGAATAGAGATTATGGGAAGTGATGATTTTCTTTGTTTATGTTTAGGTTATAAAATGTCTATATATGTATCCGTTGCTAATTATTTTCTCTATTCTATCGTAAAATCCATCGTTAATTTTTTTTAATCAATAGCTATTTATTGAGAATTGTAATAATAAATAGCTATAAAAAATACATTAGTAAAACACGATATATTATTTTATAAAATTAAAATTATAGAAGTTAAAATAAAATAAATATATAAATGTGTTAAGATGTATAAAAATATTTAGAACTTTTTTTAATAAAAAATAAAATTAGTCCTTATTATAACCATCTCCTACATCATCTTCCGGCCGTTGGCTATTGAGAGGAACGACTGACTGTCGAGCCGTGGGAGGGTCGACATGAGGGACGAAGGTCAGTTGGAGGTTCCGTAACAATCTTATAACTCTTTGCAACCGAGCACCGCATGTTGTTAACTTAACCGACCTATTCGTTGGATGGTAGCGTCCATCCTTTAGTCCTATCTTCATACTAGGCGAAACCTTCGCATTTTACCATCGAGGATATCGCAAAGTGGCGGAGGAGTAAGCGATGCTAGATTGTGAGTAACACTCTGCGACACATAAGTTTTGATGTTGTACATTTTCTCGCTTCTTCTCCCTTTCGACGACATCTAAATATATCTTGGACATATCGATCTCTTAAGATGATGCATCATGTTTCTACTTGCTCCTTAGCAGCCTACTTCTTACATTGATTGTACGTGCTCCAAAGTGATTGAAATAATTACAATATTAAATCATAAATATATTTTTTAGATTATATTGATAGATGTAAATATATTTTAAAAAAATATAGAACCTTACCATTGTTGTCTATGATCGTTTGTCGACGAATATCTCATCCTTTTGCTTGTGAATAATCATGAATAACTCATAAGGATTTAAGTTACGATATAATTTATTATGCTAAAAAAATAAACAAAATAATATGAGATGAAATAAATACAAACATTAATTTATAACACAATAGATAATATAGTATTTATCAAATGCTCGGTGTGCTCGATCAAAGAGATGGACCCTTCGAGTACTCTTGGATGGGCCAGCACCGACACCATCCATCTCCGCCATGCGGTTTCGAGATACCTGCTAAGATTGGGCTTGATACTTTAGAGTGGCCCAATCCTGGTTTCATGCTTCCCACACCTCTTGTTTAACAAATACAAGTTTGTTACTCTTGCGCTTCGGCTTGTTAAGCATGTCGCTGTACCACCTTTATACTATACTCTCCCACACATTCTTAATCGATGCATCAATGACCACATCTCATAAAAAAATACTTCTACATGAAAAAAAAATAATATTGATATTTTTTATGATAAATTAACACTTTAAATAAAATTTAAGTAAATAATTAATATATTATCCTAAACTCATTAAAGTAGAATCTTTCATCTATATAGAGATGGACTTCCATGTGGAGCTAGCGACGTCCAATCGCTCTTTGAAAATTATGATTGTTTTTGTGAAGCACTTACTTGATGAAACTAAATTATCGAACAAAAAAAAATTAATTAATTAATGATTTCAATATAATATATAAAAATATAAACTAATTATCGCATGTAAAACATATTACTTACTAGTTATTATGACCCAAATGATCCGTCCATCTTTAGATCCATCAAAACTTCTTGGAGTTGAGAAAACCATAGTGGGATCATCTATAGTAGAAGGCGCTATTGGCGAGGACACTATTAGAGGGTATATAGACGTGTTAGCATCATTATTAACTCCGTAGTCCCGGATAGCTGGACTACCGATGCCACGTTTATATACACTTGCTATTATCATTTGCACGATCAATAACAGAGCCATTAACACCACGATTAGATTTGCCCAATCCATGAGGCATAACTCAAGAATAATACTTGAAAAAGTTTAACAAGTGAATAATAATTTGACAAAAATATAGTATGAATTAAAACAAAAAAATTGAACATGTCTAAAATGCACAAAAACATCAAAAAAATGCATAATAGATAAAACAATATAATTTAATGAATACAATAAATAAAATTAATCTTTAATTACAACTATCATAATAATCTTTTAAGTTTTCTTTTCATCCATTTGATTCTAATACATATTTACTCTCATCTTCTTCATTAGCTTCAAATATTTATATATCTATAAACGATGCATGTGGATTATTCAATGACTCGCTCTTCACCATCATCCTATATAAAATTAGGT